ACCCCATGTGTTAGAGTTTTGAGTATTTGAGGTGCCTTTAATACATTTGTGCTAATTTAAGCATCAGAAACATGCAGTTTGCGCCAACTCTTGAGAAACACTAATGTTCAGGGATGAATGCAGGACATGGACAGCATGTGAACACCCAAAAACAAATGGTGAAAACATGATTTGAAGGATATTTTCCTTGCGGAAAATATGACCTCAGTGAGAACTTTTTGACTGATATCACAGATGACAGTTTCATAACTCAGTGAATGGAGACATGAACCTTCACCTACTTATAGAAATACTGAGATAAACAAACTTATGAACACACACACACACACACACAGCATACTGTGCAGCAGAACAAAAGGCTCTGCTGCATTCTCTCCCAGTGCCTGCATCTCTCTCCCAGTCCAAAGATATTGTTGAAATTGGTGCTTCTAAACTGGCCTTAAGTGAGAATATGAGCATGATCTGCCTAACTTATGCCGTAAATGTATTCTGCTCTGGAGGTTAAGTACAGGTTAAGTTTCAGATTAGAAAACGACAGATATGAAATCACCGACACCTACTGACCTTCTCTGGAAAAATGGTGTCAACATTCCAGGAACATCACTCAGACCTTTGGGCACAGACACTAGGAGGGGTTTAAGTTTTGTTTTTAAAAAGCATCTAATATTTGGGTTTTGTTTTTGGTTTTTTTTACATTTTATGTCCCTGATGAGCATTACTAAGAAACAGAGATTCTTAGTCACAACATTATTCCTTGATTGTTTTTTTCCCCTCTTTGCTGAAAATCTAAAACAATTTTATTGCTTTTATTGTTACCAGGGTAGAGCAAGTGAATCCAGATTATGACAAAAAAAAAAAAAATAAAATACCTTGGTACATTGAACTGACTTTGTAATACAGGGCTCTTCTCATTTTCTTAAGCAGTTAAGAAAATGGACAGATGGATGTTTATTTTTATGTTAATTTTCAGGAGATATAAAAACATTTTATAATGAGAAACAGATGTAAATAACAAAATGAATGTGTAGAATTCCATCTGGATTTGGATTGACTGTGAGGACCGGCTCACTGCCCCATGAGAATTCTTGTCATTGCTTGTAACACCTGTGCTTTTCCAAATGTCAAGTGACTGCAGTGAATAGGCCTGTCATCTGTAAAAGAAAGCCTTTCAGCAAAGCTAAAAGCAAATGAAAACTTTACATAATTTAATGACATTAAAATGGGCAGAGAGAAAATAAACTTAAGAGCTTTCCTTTTGTCTTGACTATAAATTCTCACTTGAAATTCCTTCCACTTCCTTCCAACCCTACCGAAGTTGTTATATTGAAGTATCTTCTCAAAGTCAGTTTGACTTACTGTACTGATCTTGTCTAAGCCTTCTCTAACTCGTTGGCGTTTGTTTCCCCACTTTATCAAGCCTAAACAGACACATGCTGTAGAAAAGTGGGTAATTATAATCCCAAGCACATAAAAACACATTGGCTGTTTTTCAAAAGGCACCCTCCATCACAGCACAACCTCTGAAAGATGGTCTCTTTACATATGATGTGACAGTTGCAGATGTGTCATACTCAAAGAATTAAATCTATAGAAAGACATCTTTGTCCAGGGCAAAGGCAAAACGGAAGAGCGCACAGCAGTAGCCCAGTAGTATCATGA